AGTGTACTTTGCTCCTCCTCGTGCATCTTTATTGTGTTGGTTTCGTATACACATCATGATGTCGTTCGCTGCACCTGACATCTACGAATTATATTGTTCGTTTTACAAACGAGTGCTCTCTCTCTCTCTCTCTCTCTCTCTCTCTCTCTCTCTCTCTATCTCTCTCTATCTCTCTCTCTCTCTCTTCCCGTGGTTTGCCCCTTTCCAACAAATATACAGACACACACACACACACACACACACACACACACACACACTCATATGCACACATACTTAAAAACATTGGACACACATAGACTTTAAAAAGATGACACAAATTGAGAGAATATGATGTCTGCAGCTCTTTTCAACATATGGCACTGCATGTTGAACACGTACGAGTAACATGTGACACTGCATGTGACCCTCTTACAACCGCTTCCTTGTTCTTTGTGATAAAGGGTGTCTGTGAATTACAATGTATTGCAAAAGACAAAAACTTTGATGAAATGCACCGGACAACAATCGCACCTTAATTTCTAGATTTAAATACAAATTTACGACTAAAAGAGTGTGAAATAGTATACGAAGGATTCTGAGTAATCATCTTATACTGTACGGACACTGCATGCCCGTTGACAATGTATACTCCTTTGATACGTCGTAGTCGGCATGTGCGTTGTAATATCATACAAAATATTGCAGCCATATCGAAAATGAATACGCACCTGCCGACCAACATAGCATTGAAGACAAAAATAGTTTAAGCTATGTAGTTGAGGAACATTATTATCAGAATCAGTGAGAGGCATGTGTTGCTTTGACAATCTATTTTTTTTAAGTATGTTGGCACACACTTAGCGACGACATCACCCCCGTATCATCCCTGTTCTTTGGGCACGGGGAAACGCACAGATGCCATAACATATGTAGAGTACAAATTAAAATGTAATTCATTTTTTTCACCGCTAAATTTGCGAAAGTGAGCAGCAACCAAAACGGAGTCTTCTCTTGTGCCTTTTTTTTGTAGTAAAGAGTGATGACTATTCGTAGCGGAGGAATAATTGTTTTTTTACATTTCTTTAATGCAGTTGGTAAACTGTTTGTAAACAGTCTTTCAACAGGAGAGGCTGTTTTTATACGCATTTTCAACATAACTTCAACTTATTACAAACTACTGGCCCATCACTGGAATGATATTATCCCCTACGACCAGTGTATTCAAAAGGAAGGTTTCCTTCACATCCCCTGTGTTCAACAGGATACCCTCGTAAATTGTGTAGGGAACCTGATTTTCAACAGCTGAATGTAGTACAAATCATACTAAAATTCTAAATGTTCGGAAGCTGCATTTTTTCTGTTGACACACCCCCGCGCCACCTTCTGCCGCGTGTCAAACCGCTCCTCGTCAGGACCTTGGTCGATTCCTCCGTACGACTGCACGATCCAGGGGCAGGAAACAGGATAATCGTTGTCGCCTAGCAGTTAACCTCGCGTGACGACTCCGTGCGGCAGACTCACCGGAGGTGCGTCGAACAACTCGCCAACTTGTGCACGCCTCCACAGCTGGGAATTGTGCAGGACACGGACGTCGTGCACGCTTCCCGGGTATCCGATGTGGACGTCCATGATCCGCAGATCTAAATCCACTACCACCTGCGCCTGCACGGAAAACTTCTGTTTGCGGTCATTGTAGTTGGCAGATGGTGCGCCGGCGGGCTTGTCAATGAAGATGTGTGTGCAGTCGATTGCGCCGAAGCAGTCGGGGAAACCCTTGTCACGGAAAACGCACAGAATCTGCGCGCGTCTACGGCCCACTGACCACTTTATTGCGTCTGGGTACGCCTGCAGCAGTGCCGAAGTGACGTCGCGGACGACCTGCAGTCCAGTTGCTCTCCCGATGCCAAAGGCAGACATGCCGCTCTTGTACGTCTCTCCTGACGCCAACCTGTACAGCGCGAACGCGATGACCTGCTCCACCGGCAATGGCATCCTATAGTGCGTCACCTTCTTCTCCACGTACTCGGCGCACGCGGCCACGATCTGCTTGAACATGGCCATCGACATGCGCAACTTCTGACGGTAGTACTCGTCCGTTGCGTCGTCACACAGGCGGAGGTCCTCCCATGTTCTGCCAGTCCGTCGTTTAACCCACCAGCGCGGGGTCTCCCGCGGGAAAACGCCAGAAGACAGCGCGACGCACAACTGGATGACTGCCTGACACGTGGCCACGCAATCTGGCGCTTCGCCAATGCGCTGCAACAACGCTCTTCGTTTGCGGAGCTCCGCCAACATGTCGCGTGACGAGGACGACACATCGCGGATCGTGTTCACGACGATGGCAGTCACGGTTATCGCCACCGCGTCGATTTCGTCATCCCGAAGACCCTGCCCGTGCCCGCGAACGTCGATATCCGAGAACTCCGTGCTCTCCATAGCTAGACGCCTGCCACAACTGCCAAACAAACGCCCGCTGCTGAAAACCGCCACTTTGATGACGAACGCCAGTGCCGAAGATGCGGCCGCTCGTGTACGACGACACAGGAGATGACGCACGGCGCAGCCGAAGACGCGCCCGCTGCTCCAGACTTCCACAGGGCAGTGCGCATGACGTAGGTGAAGAAGCGTCCACCACGAAGATGCGCCCGCTGGTCACAAGTTGCGCGGAATCGCAAGACGGATACCCACGGCGTACGCTTCGCCACCGCCGTCTTTTGAACGTCACACGCATCGCCTGGCCGTCCTTCGCCGCGCTACCCTGCGTCCGCGAAAATTCAAATTTGAATTTTTGAAGTCCGAGGGGACCGCGCTTTTCACCCACCCCTTTTTCCTCCGCCCAAAGGCCTCCGCAGTGTGTACCACGGACAACATCCAGGAAGGGACGGACATCGGTGGCGCGGCTGCGTATACGCATATGAAAACTGGCCGCGGGAGACCTTTTAGGACGATTCCTAAAAGATGATTTTTAGGACTGCGTGTAACGACGACGCGCGAAATCCTAAAAAACCTTTAGTACTCGTCCTAAAAGTTTTAGGATTCTTTTAGGAGTGTCTAATGAGCCCCTTAGAGGTGGACCCCACAGGGGAAAATCTCGGAAGAACTCTTCCGCCAGATGTTCTCTCCGACCCCACAGCCTCTGGAAAAGTGTCTAGAAGTCCCTTTTTTTGTATTTCCCAGACCCCACCGCCCGGAAAAGTGGCGCCTGGAAAAGAGAAGAGCGAGTTTCCAAGTCCTTTTCCGGGCGGAAAACGGTCGATCCACGTCAGCCTCGCCTGAATTTTGTGGCAAACGCAAAGGGTAGGGGGGGGGCATCCCTTTGCGTCTTCCAGACTTAGAAGATCGCGCAGGTCCATTTTGTGTCCGCACGGTGCTACCCAAGAGCCACGCAATGCCACCCACGACCCGTCAGCGGCCACCCCGCATGTCCATCACGGCCTACCCGGGCTTCGACGGCGGACAAAACAGCCAAAGTGGTCCGAAAGTCTGGAAGAACTCTTCCAAAAGTCTGGAAAAGAGGCACTTCGGTGGGGTCCCGTCTTTTCTTTTCCGAAACCTTCAAGGACTTCCGCGTCGCTTTACCACGGAGACTGCCTTTTCCAGACTTTGGGCGGTGGGGTCCACCTTTTACTTTCTGCACTGTTGTTGCAACCACCACCATCAGATCATTTGTGATCAAATGGTTGGGACGCACTCTGGAGTGATTTCAGGTGGGAGGTCTCTGTTTTTTTTGTTTTTTTTTGCCTTTCTCCAGTTTTCTCACCCAGAAATTCGTAATGAACCTGTGAGGCCGCTGCCACTCAGTGTCACACTGGATCGGCCACATTCCTATCCGACTGCTAATGGGACCACACCCCCGGCCTATTTGCTGTTGCTATTATAAAATTGAATTCCGGTTAAAAAAAAAAAAAAAAAAAAAAAGGGATAACCATTATAGTGCGAAATGAGACGAGGCCGGGGACCTCACATTCCCCAGCTTCCGCTCGTGCTGGAAGCTGGGTTCAGCATCCCATTTCAAGAAAACCTTTTTCATAACTCTACCTCGTCTATCTCATCCTCTCGCTATTCTTATGTATAGTACCGGGGTACCGGGGAGCACAAACCAAACCTCGAACTCTCCCCCGTCCACGTGTGACGAACCATTTCCCGATCCCGTGCTATCTTTCGTGCCCCTCTTACCCAATACCCCTTTGTGTATCATACCGATCCCACAGAACCCTCGTCGCTTTTTCTTGATTTCAGGCGCCTTGTTTGGGCCCCCATTTTTCGGAAGTTCTATTGATTCTTGGAATTCTTCTTTTTGTAATTCGGGAAATGCACAGGAAATTTCGCGGGCCTTCGCGAGCGCACTGGGAATCGGGCTCGACAGTTAGGAATTATGGAATAAGCGGAGCCTGACGTATCTTTTTTCTTGCATGAATGTTCTCGGTCACAACGGAGAAAACTCTATGAATTTTGTGAAAATACGGATAGGCATAGGACTTTCTTTTCCTGCGTCGACTTTCGCGCGCGGATATGGTGATTCCAATTTTTGAATTGGTGTAGGATATAGGCAAGTTGTAACTGTTTCGGTGCCTTTTTCTCTTGTTGTCAGCACCGTACATGCGAGCATCCTCCTCCTTATTTCCTGCGCCATCCTTCCCCCGCACTCTCTCCTCTCTCTTCCCTCTCTTCTCCTTCTGCTATCGCAACCGTTTTTCCCTCTCTGCTTTTTGCGCGCCTGCTTCCCTTTCTTGATTGTCTGAATCTTGGACCCGTCTCGCGCTGCTTTTCACGCCTCGTCTCTTCTTGCTCATCAACCTTGGCTCACGAAGCCCGGTTGATCCTCCGATCACCCCGGCTCACCAATCAGACGCGTTGAGTAAGAGGATCTTCCTATTGCGCGACGAATCTGATTGGCCGACCATTGGATTCTGAAGGATCAACATGGCTTTCCCTGAGCACCCTTCGCTGAACCTTCTCTCCTTACACCTCGATCTCCCCTTTGACTCTTCCCCCATCTATCTCCTTTCTCGCAACTATAAATTCCGCAAACGCGCCCGCAGAACTCTCTTACGTTTTCCACTCGCAAGCCAGCTTCCGGGAAGCAGTGGCTAGGTGATGCGTTTGGTGCGAGTCGAAAAGTCCTGTCGGGCTGACCGTAGTCTGGCCGGCTGCACGCTTGATCGCCACGACGGACTGTGGGATCCGGGCGAGCCGAGTCGAGTCTGCGTCAGCGGGGTGATGATCGCAGTGGCGGAAGTTAGCACGCGACGACCGGGATCGTTGGTGCGGGTATGAGGATTTGTGATTGGAGTTCAGTGGATGATTGGCCTGGGGCCATATTGGAATTTCACGACGAATGCGCCTTTATGATTGCGGATCATTTTTTTGGTGTGAGTTCATGGCTGTGAAGCCGAATGCTCTCTTGTCGGATTCTGGTGTCTTATGTCTCGGCTTTTCTCGTCTATCCCTCCCACCCCTCTCTCTCTCTCTCTCTCTGACTTGAATGACAATGCATTGTTGGTTTGTCCCTCTTGTGAACCGAAGCGAACTCTCGAGAGTTCTCGCAAGGAAGAACTTCTTCCGGAACTCTTCCATTAGTTTCCTGGGTAATCCCCAGATGTCGAGGACTTAATCCTCTTGTCTTGTGAACGGTGGATGCGTGTGTACAGTTCCCTCGGTTGATTTCTGACCTGTGCACCCTGGTCAACTTCGCACCTTCCACAGTGGATGTATGTATAGAGATGCTTGTCTTTTTGCGTTGATTAGACTCAGCGCTAGACGGGATCTGTTCGAGAATGCAAGAGTGTTTAGATCTGTGGTTCTGAATGCACTGCGCATGCCATCTGCCGTATGCTGTACGACATCAACAGGTAGTCGGTGAGGCAGCCTCGAAAAAGCTAGGCGCCTCGTGTTTTTGTTGATCGGATCCGCTGAAACTGAGTCGCGGGTTGATCCCTCGGAACTCCAACCCGATTAATGCATGATTGTGCGGGTTCTGTAAGCTGCTTCGCTCGTAACCAAAGGTAGGAAGGTACTAATTACTTCTTTTTGTGCTTTTTGATGACGTCTCGAGGATTTGTGTAAACTCTGTCTGATTGATTGACATGTGGACTAATGGTCGTCCCTCAATCGGGCGCCAGCCTTCCGTACCTCCCTCGCCGACACGCCCCTTCCCCTACAACGAGGAGAGGACACGTGTATGCGAGTGGTGACGTATGGGAAGCTGTCGCATGCATCGGGGGGGCAATATTACTTCCCTCCTGAAAATTGTTGTTCCGGGTTCGTGGATGCGGGCTTTGTCATTATCGATACGCACTTTCCACCCTACTCAGTATTGTTGCCATTTAACGAGCTGGTCGTCATTCCGTGGACGGCAGTGGCGCCCCATTGGCCTCGAACCCTGTGCACTGAGTGCCAGCGTTTCGATCACTACGAATCGAAGGGCTTCTACTACCGGGTACGGAGTGAAGACGGGCACAACGAAAGAGCCACGCGGCTGAGACCATCCACGTCGGACTCGGAACTGACCCACGAGCGACGTCGGGACTTAATACGGAATCGGGATACGCGGAGTGTGCCGAAGCCCTTCCACTCCAAACGAAGATCCGTAGCGCGGTGGGAAGCTCGACAATACTTTTTGGATTGAATTGGATTTTTCTCTTTTCGCGTCGTGCCCGCGCGCGCATTCCGCGACACGCGAAAGCAACCAACTTACTTCATCGGGCCAACACGGGGGATTTCAGTTCTGTCTGTGTCCCCACACTCAATTTTCCAAAAATCCTTGGCACACCCCATCTTGCTGTTTTTCTGGGCCTTCATTCCGCACCTTTAACACTCCGAACGGAAGGCAGCACAGGGCGTGAGGTTTGCGCGTCACACACGGGGTAGGTTTTGTCGAATGCCACGTCAATTGCGGCTTGCCCCCTTCGATGCCACGTTGATTACCTGTTTGATGCCACGTTTGATTGCCTGTTTGATGCCAAGTTGATTGCATGTTTGATGCCCTGTTGGTTGCTCTTTGATGCCGTGTTGATTGGCCATTGGATGCCATGGTGATTGTCTGTTGATTGCCACGTGGATTGTCCCATTTGCCATCACGTGGTCTGTTGGATGCCACATTGCACGTCGATTGCCTGTTTGATGCCACATCATTGTTCGTTGCATGTTCTGATGCCACGTGGATTGCCCATTTGTTGTCCCTGTGATGGGCCATTGGATGCCACGTTGATGGCCTGTTGAATGCCACGTGCGCTCCCTGTTGAGTACCACATTGCTTGGCAATGCCTGTTTTGATTGACACGTGGATTGTCAATTTGTTGTTGCGTGGATTGGCCGCTGGATGAATTGCACATCATTGGGTTGCCTGTACGGTGCCAGATTCTCTCTCTCTCTCTCTTTTTTTTTTTTTTTTTTTGTTGGGCCAAACACCTGTGGCAGCCTGCCTGCTATTGGAGGTGATACAAGCATCCTCCAATAGCAAGCCCCAGTTCATAGATGGCTCCAGTCTATTGGTGGGAAGCATCACCTGCTGGAAACCGGGTCTAGCGTCCCACTGACAAGATCAGAGAAGGTATGCCTGGCAGAACAGCATTGACTGCCCTCTTTCTCGGTGATCTGTCTTGATGCCATGTGGATTGCCCCTTGGATGCCATGTGGATTGTTCACTGACA